TGCGACATGTGCTTCATGGTGAGCTGTCCCTACGTGCCGCCGCACGAGTTCGACCTGGACTTCCCGCACCTGATGCTGCGCTATCGCGCGGCCGAGCAGCGCCAGGGCAAGGGCGAGCGCGGCCTGGCCGCCGAGCTGACCAAGACCGACCGCAACGGCAAGCTGGGCTCGCTGCTGCCGGCGCTGGCGAACTGGGCGATCAAGGTCGACAACGGCATGACCCGGCCGCTGATGGAGCGCCTGGCCGACGTCCACCGCGAGGCCTGGCTGCCCAAGTTCCACGGCACCAGCTTCGAGGAGCGGGCGCGCGGCGACGGCGTCGAGGTCAACCGCGACGCGCCGGCCTTCGGCCGCAAGGTGGTGCTCTACGCCACCTGCTTCGTGAACTTCAATCACCCCTCGACCGGCAGCGCCACCCGCCAGGTGCTGGCCAAGAACGGCGTCGAGACCCAGGTCGTCTATCCCGAGTGCTGCGGCATGCCGCAGCTCGAGCAGGGCAAGGTCGAAAGCGTCGCTCAGAAGGCCAGGCGCATCGCCGGCGAGCTGGAAGGCTGGGTCGACCAGGGCTACGAGGTGGTCGCGCTGACCTCCTCCTGCGCGCTGATGCTGAAGTTCGAGTGGCCGCTGCTGCTGCCCGAGGACGCCACCGTCAAGAAGCTGAGCCAGGCAACTTACGACATCACGGAGTACGTGGTCGACATCGCCAACAAGGAGGGCCTGGCCGAGGGGCTGGGCGAGCTGGACGGCGGCGTGGCGCTGCACATCGCCTGCCACGCGCGCGCCCAGAACATGGGCATGAAGGCGCGCGACATGATGAAGCTGATCCCCCAGGCCGACATCAAGATGCTGCCGCGCTGCTCCGGCCACGGCGGCACCTGGGGCGTGCGCAAGCAGCACTTCGATCAGGCCATGAAGGTCGGCAAGCCGGCCATGCGCGACGCCCTGAAGGCCGAGAAGACCTACGTCTCCAGCGAATGCCCGCTGGCCGCGCTGCACCTGCTGCAGGGCATGGACCGCCTGGCCCAGGACAAGCCGGACGGCCCGCAGCCCACCGAGCAGGCGCCGCGCCACCCGATCGAGCTGTTCGCCAAGGCCTACGGCTTCGAACTGGAGAGCTGACCCACAGCACGCGCGAACGAGGAGCCGAAGCGATGAGCACCGCCGTCAAGCGCCGCATCGAGCGCGGCGACATCCTGCCGATGACCGAGTACGAGAGCCAGCGCAAGGAGCGCCGCAAGAAGCTCGTCGAGGTCAAGCGCGACCGCCGCGTCGACGTCGGCCCGGTCTGCACCTTCTACTTCGAGAACTACGAGACCATGTGGNNCACGAGATGCTCTACATCGAAAAGGGGGGTGAAGAGCAGATCGCCGACGAGCTGAGCGCCTACAACCCGCTGATCCCGCAGGGCCGCGAGCTGGTCGCGACCGTGATGTTCGAGATCGACGACCCGGTGCGCCGCAAGGGCTTCCTGTCCAAGCTGGGCGGCATCGAGGAGACGGCCTTCATCGAGATCGACGGCGCCGAGCGCCTCGTCGGCAAGCCGGAGGAGGACGTCGACCGCACCACCGCCGACGGCAAGGCCAGCTCGGTGCAGTTCATCCACTTCCCCTTCACCGACGCCCAGGCCGAGGCGATGAAGACCCCGGGCACCAAGGTGGTGCTGGGCTTCACGCACCCCGCCTACAGCCACATGGCGGTGCTGAGCGAGGAGGCCCGCGCCGCTCTGGCCGGCGACCTCGACTGACCGGCGCCGCGCGGGCGGAGCCCGGCGCCGCGGCCGGGCGGGACAGCCGCGAGACGCCCAGGCGCAGCGTCTTCCTGCTCGGCGCCAGCGGCCTGGTCGGCGGCGGCATCGCCGCC